AAAAAAAAAAAAAAACAAAACAAAACAAAACAAAACAAAAATACAAAAATATATAGCTTTAAGAGGGTTAGGCCTACCCTAAAATTAAGGAACGCTCGACCTCGACACGTGATATCGAAATGGGCGAAATCGCCTCTTGATATCACTAACTCTCCTGACTCCTGACTCCTGAATAGGTTTTCGGAGTACTATCAACCTACCACAACATAGTTTCAATGTAGAAAAAAGGAGACTCCACAACTATTGAGTTGCATGCCGTTTATTATAAAGTATTTGAATAATGAATTTTTTTAATTCGGAAACAAATACATAAACCATTTCCAATTATCCTACGGTCATCGCGGAGACTGTAACCTCCTAATGCAATTACGGATCTGTCACCTTCCATTAAAGCGTTTTCTTCCCACTTTCCTCTTATTATTACGTAATTAATGAACACATATATTACAGAAATGTGGAATTATAATGTTCTGATTGCAGAATCTGATTCTGAGACAAATTAAATGTCCAGGTTTAGTGTGAGCGCATAGAAGTCTAGGCGATTAAAGACGTGTAGAGCACACACGGAAATAACTTGAAGTGATCCATTCACAAATCTTCTAAGAGAGGAGCTGAGAGAATTTATCTTCGTTTTGGAAACCAGTTAGGCATACAAGGCTTTGGTGCTGTTTGCAGAACTGAAGAGGACCCATTCTCTCAAACTTCTCAGTACTCTGTGGGTACTGACCTATAGATACTGAAGAGGATTTATCCTCTTTTGTATATGTCATATGTTTTGTATATGTACATCATCCATAGGTCATGCAATTCGTTTTGATGAATTTACCTCTACTTGATCCGTGGAGAAACCCACTCACGAGGGACTCATTGAGGAATGTTGAATGAATGTTGCCATCAATATAGTTTCAACATTCCATTTCAATGTTGAAACAATGTTGACAAAAATTACATCTTCACATTGAATCAATGTGGCACCTCAATGTTGTTTCAACATTATAAAAGTTGCCATGAAACATTGTTTCAATGTTGTTTCCACATGGATGTGTTACCTGGGGTCTGAGCCCTCATCTTAATCAGCCTGAATAACCCGTGGATAACATGGATTATTCGTGGACGAGTACGAGGGAAAACAGGAAATTCTCTGTGGAAGACGAGTTATACATGCAATCGTGAATATGCAGTATGTGAAGGAGGGCTCTTAGGACCATGCCATGCAGCACCCACACTTGGCTTATGCATCGCATCCTACAATGTACTCGCAAATATGCATACCATAATGAAGTGCACCAAACAAGAGATGCGCTTCTTGGTCTGTCTACGGGTGAAATTTACCTCACGATACTGAAAGCGTTTTGTGACAATTTCACAATTTAACGGAGCGTAAACGAGTGGGTAGCGAAGTTCAAAGGATGCGAAATAGAACTTCAGAAATTGGCCTATGCAGTCTTACACGCCCCATTACGTTAAGACATGCAACTGTCGCCGATCTCTATTCGTTGTGAATTTCCCAACAGAATACAAAAAGAATTTCGGTGTGACCAAAAATCGAATCCCTCGGAGCATATCTATCATAGTTCCGTGCACTTCACAATGTCAAACATTTTCGAGGCGGCGTTCTCATAATTCGAAGCATCTCCCTCGGCCGGCTGCTGTGTGACATGAGGCTAATAGGTTCATTGTTCATGCCACGGAGCATGTGGAGTGGAGGTGGGCGTATTCATAAGATTAAACTCACGCCCTCTGCAGTACAAAAAAAATAATTTCCTTGCTTCCTCTGCTCATGTCAATTTTCTTGATTGATGTTTGATTAAGTTTTTCCGCGATTTTTAAAGCATTTTGAGTAGAAAGGTGGATGGACCCTTAAGGTACAACGAGAAAATCTAATTTCTTCCGCCTGTCAAGTTTACAAGAGAAACATTTGTATCATTATTAAAGAGTATGAATAAAGCTCCCTCATTCTTGATTGATCCAGCCCTTCTCGAGTCCCTCTTTGCCCTTCGAAATGCAAACATGAAGCGACACTACGTGGTTGATTTTATGACCGTGGGATCATGAAATCATAGTTTTAACATTGGTAGGAGACGTTTGAATATAGAATGAAATTAGTGAGCTGAAATTGATTAGCATTGTGAGTAGTTACGGTTGATGGTTTCTGCTCAAGCTGACCAAAAGAATAAGCTTTCGCATATATTTAGCGGGAATCCAATGTTGGGCATAATTGGTGGAAGGGGTTAGGACTCGGAGAAAGCTGCTGCTGAGGCTGGATGATCAAGCGTATTTCCTGGATTATAACCGAGAAAACAGCTCGGGTTAACAGTAAATAGGTAATTTCATCGACTACTAGTCGGTAGCCTAGACTAGAGGGAGCGATCACGTTTTCGGTTAACTCTCCTCATTCTCTGTTTGCGGACGGTTGCCCAGAGTGCGGAGAGTCGACTGGGCTACTCTCCGCACTGGGGACGGTTGACTGTCCGCGCCGGGTGACTCAGCGGAACAGGCCTACTGTAAGCCCTGCTTGAAACAGGAATAATTGCAATTAATATATTTGCCGATGTAAACATTTTTTTCAGAAACCTACTCAATAAGAGCGTTTTGTGACACCTTTTAAACGCCATTTATTTTGCCTTTACCTCTTTAGACTCATATTTGTACTGTCTGATCCGCAATGTGAGCTGGATTATCTTTAGCATCTTTTGGAAAATCATGACATAATGGACACTTACAGTTATTACTCTTTACCCAAGTGGGTGCATAGGAAGAGTTTAAGCTGTCTTGAGCATGTCAGAGTCATGCAAAAGGGTATCAAGCTCAAGTCAAAACACTAAGACCCATATAACTTGGACCTATGGCAGAGGGATATTTTACAATTGTTTGCCATGACTTGGAGAAGTAAATCAGGGATATGCTTTTACTTTTACTTGCAGATATGGAGGGAAAACATCGAATTGTTAAGAATCAATAGCCAAGGTTTGAAGAGATAAGATGATAAGCAAAATTAGATTAAGTTTGCTCATCAGGCATTTAAGAAGAAAGTCTGCTACTAGCAGCCATACATCCTCGGCTTCCTCCATTCAGATTCGCCACTCATCATATCTTCCTTACATCGAGCAGGAACAGCATGATGTACAAGATGTCTTGACAGCCCCTCTCCCCGAACTTTCCTTCCTGTCAAAATTGGATGACATTAGATCATATGAAGACCTGTGGAATTTCAGCATCAACAGGGTTAGTAATTACATGAGCTTGTGTAAGTTATAGAGGTGAATACAAGGAAATAAATATTTTTCTATCTATCAAGAGTGATGAATTTTGGGAGATCATGGGTCGCAACAGGCTGCATTGGTTCCAGCAGTTTGGGAAGATATCAGAATGTGATATGCAGCAGGGAAAGTTTTGCTGGTTCAAAGGAGGAAAGCTTAATGCTGCATGTAAGTGCATTGAGATATTGAACAACATACAAAGATGTGGATTTATTTGCATTTACGTAGAATTCTGTGATTTTCTATTAACTTCAGACAACTGTGTTGATCGCCATGTCAAGATAGACCCAGACAAAATAGCTCTCATTTGGGAGAAGGATGAACCTGGTCAGCATGAGAAAATTACTTATAAGTGAGTCAGACCCTTCTGCTCTAATAAGTTTTTCCAGCTTCATTATCTTTTCTCAACATGCACCTGGAATGTGTTTTCCTTTTAGACAACTCTACACAATGATGGGCCAGATAGCCAATGTCCTGAAAAAGTCAGATGTAAAGAAAGGTGACCGTGTGGTCATTTATATGCCAAATTCACCTATGGCAGTAGCCAGCATGCTTGCTTGTGCTCGTCTTGGTGCCATTCACTCTGTCATCTCTGCAGGATTCAGTCCAAAAGCTGTTGCCCAACGAGTCAACAATGGTTAGGTGAATTCACTATCTCCTTATTAAATAAAATGGCATAAATTCATATTGGGTTTGCTTCCTGTGTGTATACAGCAGGGGCAAGAGTCATTATCACAACAGATCAGGCTCCTAGAGGAGGAAAGACAATTGAATTGAAGAAGATGGTAGATGAAGCTGTGGAGATGTGTCCACTTGTCTCAACTATTCTTGTCTCAACAAGAACTGGGTCTCAAACTCCACTAGACCCCAAACGGGATGTTAAGCTTGAGGAGGTATGTGTGTTTGAATTGCTAGGTATGGAACTTATACTGTGGGTATAACTTATCCAGGCATTAGAAACCAGGTTGGAGATAAGAACCATTGCTGCCATTAAGAACAATTTGTCTGGTGCACAGTGGCAGCTTGTGATATTTAGCACTAGTGGTTTGTCTATGGAGAGGGAGTAGGCAGGGGAGGGCACTGCTTACCCCCTCTCCATAGATGAACCATTAGTGATAAATATCACCAGTACCAGTGATAAATACCACCAGATAAATATCGCCACTGCTGGTGCATATGATTCTTTTAGCATCTAATATGCAGTTTCTTATTAATGTTATTTGATCATATTCTGAACCTTCTTATCCCTACTGGAATATTTTTGCATTATGGCAATAATATGCCAAATTAGGAGAATTCATCTCTTTTAATTTTCCTCTATGACTTATGCCCAGCCAATTCTTATCAAGTTCAAAACATATGATGCTTTATTACTTCATAGACCATGGAAAAGGAGTCAGAAGACTGTATGTCTGAGATGATGGACAGTGAAGATCCTCTGTTCTTGTTATACACATCTGGCAGCACTGGATCACCAAAAGGCTTAGTACATACTCATGCAGGATACCTCCTTTATGCATCTCTCACACAACAGGCAATCTGTCAGAAGCATCTTCTTGCAAAGTTCCTTCCTCTGCGTTTTATAGCATGGATATAAATCTTTCTGTGGCAGATGGTGTTCAACCATGGGGAGAATGATGTCTTTGGATGCATGGCAGACATTGGTTCAATCACAGGGCATAGCTATGTTGTCTACGGTCCCCTTTGCAATGGTGCTACAACAGTGCTCTTTGAGAGTACCCCAACTTATCCAAATCCAGGTACTTCATAGTTTTCCAATCATTTGCAAAGTCTAAAGCAGCAAATATTAAAGTATGCAAGCCAGTTTTCACTCAATTCTAGCTCGCTACTGGGAGACAGTTGGAAGGCTGAAAATTAACCAGCTTTACACATCTCCTACTGCCATTCGTCTTCTATTGAAATATGGTGGCAAGTGGGTTCATGGACATGATCTCTCATCCCTTAAGGTAAAAGCAGTTGGATTCAATCGGAGTCTGAATCATGGATCACTGCCTTAGCACAGGTAATGAGTTCTCATTTTCTTATGTGCAGGTTCTGGGTTCTGTTGGAGAGCCTATCACTCATGAAGCATGGCTTTGGTACTACCATGTTGTTGGAAAGGAGAAGTGTCCAGTTGTTGACACATGGTGCCAGACAGGTATTGATAGTGTTAGTTTGAATGGTGCACCAAAATGTTGATACCATTTTGTTAAAGTCCACCTAAAGGTCTGTAGAGATTAAAGAGAACTAAGAGTAAATTCAGGATGATTAACTCATAGAATTCTGAGAATATTAGAGTTCTCATGAACCAATGATGATTGTCCATCAATCCAAGATGACCTATGTAAGACCAACTGGCAAACCTTGTGCAAGGTAGAATGAATATATTTTGGAGCTTGGTCCTGAGAAACTTGGCATCCCTCATCCTGAGCTTGAGTCCATTGTCCTGGACCAAGATCATTGCCCATGGTTCCCAGCCAGTATTAGAACATGCAGAGCCATTCTGAATCATTGATGAAAAGAAAATGAACGATACTGGACATGGGGATCATAAAAGAGGCAGTGGTTGACCAAGATCAAAGAGGATACAACAGAACACTTGTTTGGAAGAGCTAATAAGTGATCAGACCAAGACACTGATAATGATGCCTAGTTATATGGCAAAATTGTAGAGGTATGTGTGAATAGTGGCTTCAAAGGATGAAAAGAGAAGCTGCATTTGGGCAATATGTAAGAATATGCTTCTAGAATTCAGGCTATCCCCACCCTCCCTAATCCAATCTACAGGAAGCATGGTTTCCAGGATGCCTATAGAATGGTGAGCCATGATGTCCATTCTATTCCCTCATTGCTTCATGAAAGAATGAGTTACCTTTGCAAATGGCAGTATGGATCCCCAACTCCCATATCTGGTTCATTTCAGCATTTTAGAAGCAATTTCAGTTAGCAGGATTAGTTCTACTGGGTCCCCTCCAGTCTTACCCCAGTACTCTTCCTTGGATACTTTTCCTCCATCCTGCATGAATTCCAAAATTTTCATGACTTAATCTTTCCTGTGGGCTAAGTAAGTCCCCATTTTTTAATTGTGCAAGGTGCCCCTCTCAAGTGATGGGTGAATAACAAATGCATTCATTTGCAATGGACTTTGTATTTCACTTTTGCAGAGACTGGTGGAATTTGCATAGCCCCTCATCCAGCTAGCCCTGCAGCACCCATTATTCCAGGTGCTGCCATGAGACCATTTTTGGGCACACTTCCATGTGTCATTGATGAAGAGGTATTGCATCATTTTTCTTTGTGTTCAGAGTAAAGTTCATGATCTGAAATGATCTCTTTTAACAGTAATTTAGCAGAATTATATATATATATATAGTGACTACCCATTAACACATCTAGGGTCATGAAGTGGAAGGCAACAATGTCACAGGAGCACTCTGCCTAAAGAAGCCATGGCCTGGAATTGCACGCACCATCTATGGTTCTCATGAGAAATACATGAACTCATACTTCAAACAAGTGCCTGGTTATTACTATACAGGTGATAGAGTACGAAGGTCAGACCAGATTCATCAAGTTACAATAGATAATGGTTATTTGTTTGTTTTTTTTTTCATCCTTTATGGTGCTAATTTTTTATATAGGGATGAGAGTGGATTCTATCATATCACTGGAAGATTGGGTGATGTCATCAATGCATCCAGTCATCATTTATCAACAGCTGAAGTTGAAGATGTTTTGGTATGAAAATACTCTCAACAAGTTTTGTGCAAACCTATGCCTGAAGTCTTTGAAAGCCATGAAATAAAGTCATTTGTATTTTTTTTTAAGTTTATGCATTGACATAGATTTATAGAGATAGGCATAGACATTTCAAACGAGAGTGATGAAGGGAATGCCATAGGAATGGTGGAGTTTCATTACATGAATGTGCAAATGAATCTGTCATTGGTATTCAGATAATACAGACTTTTTCTTCAATATTTCTTAAAGCACTGGTATGTCTTATTAAGTTTGACTTAATTGGCTGCCTGATAAATGTCTCAAAGCTTCCCCCTGCATTAGTACCCTATAAATGTGAGATTGAGAGCAATATTGATTTGAAATTCAATGGGGGAAAAATAGAGTATCCATTCTGCCTTGCAGAGTTAGAGGCAAGATAGTTGTTACCTGGCTACTTTGTAGCAGTATTCATAAGTTTTCTGATAGCTACCTCCAACTTCAGTAACAATCAGCTTAATTACTTTAAGTATTAGCACATTACTAGTAGTATTCCTTTTAATACAAGGACTAGGACCTTACAGTCTTACCGGGTTACAACTAGTGTGAAGTACTGCAAAGTACAAGTCTAAAGCAGTAGGAGTGTCAATAAGGATCAATAACATTAAGTAATTAAGATGCCTAGGATGTGTAGATGCGTTCGTTGCGGGGATTGGGTAGGTGGGACTAGTCAACGAGAGGTATGCCAGGTATGCAGAGTTTGTAGCTTGGAGGAGCGACTAGGGGAGCTATCGGGAAGGCTCATTAGCATTTTCGAAAGAGGGAGCGGTAGCAGTAGGATTGGCTATCATGAAGGAAAATGAGCCTTTTTTAGGATTGTAGATGGGGGGGCAAGGGATCACAAGCAAGGGACA